GAAGAGATCTGACAACGCGATGACAACCAAACTGAGGCCACACAATCAACCTTAATAGATTTTGGTTTCCGATAACCAACGCCTTTTTACCCACTGCTAGTGGAAGTATTGTGATTAACAGTAATTCATAATAATGTGCAATTTTGGGGATATGCATTATTATGCAAGAATTTAAACAAATGAATACAAACTACAAAATATTAAAAACTAACTAGTATCATCTATATTCACTAATATAAGCATTTATGTAAAAAAATATGAGAGTAAAATCTCATAGGATAAAAAAGATAGAGAACAAACACTGAAGATGTACAGAGTACTCTTTAAGCAAATTGTAATTATGTATTATGTACAGTCAGCATCATGATCATTAGGACACAGACAGCATAACACACTTTCTTCTATTAAAAGGAACATCCACCCACGAGTATCGGCACGAATCAACCGGTTTCAAAATGCAAATCGACCGGTGATTTCCGACTTTTGTGTGGGTTACATAACAGTTACAAAAAGATTAACGGCAGACAATTTTTATTGCCATCGTATTTTGGCGAACGTTCGTGAGGATGCAAATTGTCAGTTAGCAACATGTTAGATTGAATTTGCATATTTATGTTATTTATAACTTTTTAACAAATTGAATTTTGAATATATTTTTGGTAAACATAAACTAAATTGCTGTCCAGTTAGCATAATTACTCGTGGTTAGTTTTAAACCTACTTTTGATTGATGACAGCTGAAGCTGTTAAAACATGATGAGAAATTAGAATACTACAATAATCGTACTAAATATATGAAATTTATTACAAAACTGCATGAATTCAAAAGCTCATTTTGAGACTACATTTGTATTTTGTTACATGGAAAAGTTAATATAATATTTGCTTTCAAAAATCAGTTAGTCCAAATTATAAATTTTAATACCGTATTATGCAATTAAAGTAAACGAAAGTAAATCTTCATTACCTAATTAAACAATGTACGGACATTGTACGGTAAATTGGAGTTTTATGAAAATTCTGGTAACGCCCCTTTGCCGCAACATGTAAACTTGGTAGAAAATTATAGCCCATATGTTAGTAATAATATAGGCCGTTGTAGAAAACATCTATTTAACATAAAAAGTACTAGTAACTTTTACATGCAACTTATTTTAATGAATATAACATACAAGAACGTTTCTAGTCGTAAAAATTGTAAAAACGTAGTTAAAGGAAAAAAATATTATGATCGTAAAGATTTTTCTAATTATTTAACATCTAGCTGGTAGAAACATCAGACGTTAGTACTAAATCATAGCAGCTAAAGTTAGAAAGTTTCGATAAAATAACTACCGTTCGCGCTTTCTCACAATTTTGCGTGGAACGCGGCCGCTGCAAAAAATACAAGTGCAAAAAACGTCTCACATGAGGTGAACAATAGGCCAATAACATTTGAAACTGTATCATATAGAAAACATTCAAGTATTGTAATATTTTTTTCTATAGTTTTAATTGTGTAAAAGCAATAGAATCTATCTCTAAATACGTAGCCTTATATAGATGTAATAATTCTGAGAGAAAGTTAGAGTAATATTTGTATCTTATTGCTTACAATACGTTTTACAACTAACAGTAAATTTATCGGCATTTTGTTATATGTTTAGTCTTATACGCTTACTACTTTCAAATAACGACTGTAAGTCATACAAACACTAGTAAGTCTACAATATATGTCAAAATAAAAACGCCACCCACGACTTTGATGGATTGTCTCTAGCAAATGGATGTATCCGGTGCTGTTCCTTGCCATGCGAATCGCAGCGTAAAAGCAGACATTTTTATTGGTCTTGTCAAGATTGTATTAGTTCAAGTTATATACGGCTCAGACTTAAGGCTTTATCTATTTTTAATACTTAACAACCAAAAAACTAGCTTAGCATTTGATCTACCTACAATGATTAAAGTCTTATATCCAGTCCAGACAATTTATATATTTGATAAAAAAATAAAACGAAAAAACGTCACTAGACATTCCAAACACATAACAAGCAATTATTTCGACGCATCGACTATAATCGATTTAAGTGTAACGAGGAAGTGTCGGCAATTTTTTGTGTAAACATTCAATGAAAGCGATAAACAAAAATCGAATAATCGGAACATCGAGTTAATGAATCGAATACCACCCACAATGGTCAAGCATTACGAATCTTATGCGTTTCCGCTCGGGACATTGATAGACACTGATGGGCTTCGCTTTTAAGACGCCCTTTCAGATAATTTCAGAGTCTGCAATATTCTTTTTTTAGGACATTAACATAACGCAAGACTGTTTAAACGTTTGCAGATTTACTACGCACGCGGTTTTATTAATTAAAAATAACTCTATTATTTGCAGGTTAATTTATTATGAAACTAGCTTTCGCCCGCGACTCCGACCGCGTAGATTAAAAAAAAACAAAAGTGAGTAGCCTATATGATCTTCCAGATTATCATCTACATTCATGCCAAATTTCATCGAGATCTGTTCAGCGGCTTAGGGTACAAACTCTAATAAACATCCATCCATCTAATCTTTCGCATTTATAATATTAATATTGAAGTAAGATTACTGTAGTTAAACCACAATATAGCATTATATTATTTAAGAATATTCAAAAAAAGAATTGATTACTATACAATCGCGACACTTTAACCTATTTTATTTACAGTAACAGACGCCTTTTTTGTCTTACTTTAGTGTCTTAAATATAATAATTCAACAATTTCATTTCAGCTTAAGTACTGTTTCCAAGTTCGTTGGAAATTCGAGATGAGTAACAACTGAATAAACTACAAGTTTTTAGAAATATTTTCTATTTAAAATAATTGATTTAACAAATACACAAAGTAGTACAAATCATCTTATTCTCAAAAGATGCAGTTATTCGAACGTGCATATTCAAGACTACGTGCATTTTTCATTATTAATATAAATGTATTTTATGAAAACTTGTTGACAAACGTATTAATTGATTTGTATTGTGATAGGTTATAACATAGATCGTTTCTAGTATGTATTTACAAATATTCATGTTACGGGTGCATGAGGCAATTCAGCAACTAACCTAGTGACTAAGCAATTTTATATTACAAAAGTGTTTATTATTAAATTTAACAAATTAAGAAATGTACATAATTGAAAAACATAATTACATATTTTTTTCAAAGTGTAGTTTTTAAATATTGACGGTAAAAATATTTTAAATTCTAATTTTGTATATTTAGAGCCCTGGTGTGTGTCTTTTAATAGTTATAATTAAAATAAAGTTTTAATTAATGTATGAGTCGAAATACTCACCTTTAGCACCACAATACCCATTTAAAGTACCCCACTTATATTTCAAGTCCTCGACATCACTACGAATATTCAATTCGCTGGAAAATATCTTTTGATGTAACAAGGAATTCTTGCGATTACTTTTCGAGTTCGGTTGGAAAAGCGACACGATTTTATTTAACGGACTCATGTTTCGAACAACAGAATCGAAAAATAACACAATCGATTCATAAACACACGTAAATAATAAATCAGAATCACGTTAATTGTTCCCGATTAAGGTAATCATTAACAACAATTAAAAAAAAAACAACACGGCAAATGCACTATTCTATTTTTATTAAATTGCAAGCCAATTACAAAGAATTGTCTATGATGTAAATAAATTCGCTTAAAAACTTTTCGGTGATCTTTTTTTAAATTTAAATTTCGAACGAAAATTGGAGCGCTCCAAATGCACTAACAGTTTTTTGTCATAACCGTTCGGATGCGCGCACAACAGTGTCCGTCGTGCCTTCGTCTATGCTTGGCGTACACTTTCTTCAGACACGAACTTTCATTGGACAACGTTCTGTGCATGTTTTACATAAAGCTTCAATTTCAAGCGTTAAAATTTATCGCACGGTACTTTAACACGTTTCGAATTACACTTAATCTACGTAATACAGGATAACTGTTCATGTGTGATTTTAATGTCGCATTGTTTTTTATTTGGTTACGATTTCGATTCGCTCTGTCGTTCAAAGTACTTTTGGAATTAAAGTACACGGAGATTCCGCACGAAGTTTTTAATTATAAAGTTGCGTATACCACAATAATGAAATTACGTAAGCGTGTGAACACGTAACTGAGACAATTAAAATTCATTTGTATTATCTTTTTAATCGCCGGCAATAAATGTATAACCATACATAAGTAACGTAACAAAAATGTATATGAATACGTTACGGTTGTGCTTTTGTATTTCCCATATTTGAACAAACGACCTTATTTTAAGGTATCTTATTTTTAGGTAAAAACAATAAAATTTAATAAATTATCGTTTAATAGTTTAAAATTAATAAATCTCCGACAATTGTACTCCTATACTGTACTCCTATACTGTACTCCTATAATTGTAATTATTTTTAAGGAGGAAGGGCTGAGCGGAATATACAAGTACCCTTTTTATGTCTGTCCAGTAAGAATAAACAACACATTTGCTACTTTTTTGCTGGTGCTTTGTGAAGCGGTCACTTCGCTATATTACAGAAATTAAGTGGCCAGTTCTGAATATTAATTGATAGAGTAAAAGAGCCGAAACAAATGATTGAATTTTTCAAATTGTTAAGTTAGGAATCGAATCTGCTACACGTTCATTTTATCCACTTCACATCGCATTACTCATCATTACCTTAAAGCTTTACCAATAGATGGTGTTGTTTTAGTTTATGGTAACTAACTCTAGATGGCATTGCATGTGGGTTAAAAATAGATTGTCACAATCTTAGAGAAACGAAATATTTCATAAATTTACTTTAAACATTTTACATTTTAAAACTTAAAATTTTTTACTAATATTATTTTTAAAATATTCTCATTTATCAAGAACACTGCCATCTAACGACGATACTCGACACTAAGTCAAATGCTATTTGTTTATAGTTAAACATAGATGGCACCACTTTGCTATAAATCAACTTTTTTGCGTACTACTTACCTTTAGTTGTAGTTAAAGTGTTGGGCCGCTGTGCTGGTGCGCGGTGTGGTGGCGGCTTCCTGGGGGAGGGAGGTGGAGCGAGGGAGGTGCGCGCCCGCACTGTCACGGGGGACGACGACAGCTTCTGTACCACGCCATTCTTCTTGACTGGAAAATAACATTGTTTATTTATTATTTAGAAACTTTTATATTGCCTAAAAATAATTCACAGTAGTTGCCTAACCTAGTGCTAGATGAAAGGGTATACTTGAAGAAAGAAAGAAAAACCGATATCCCTTACATAAAATATATTCTAGAATAATATTAATAAATTAATTTAATCTAACTAATATTATAAATGCGAGTTTAGATGGATGGATGGCTGTTTGTTAGTTTGTAGCCTAAACGGCTGGATTAAATTTGGCATAGATGTAGAGCAGAGTATGGAAGAACACATAGGCTACTTACTTATGTTTTTTAATACCACGCGGACGGAGTCGCGGGCGAAAGCTAGTAGTATATATATCACTCAGAAACATTCAATCAATGTATCGGCATCATAAAGATAAAATATCTCATTTTTTTATGCAATTTGCTACACATAACGTTTCCAACCTGCTTTCTTTACATTTTTATCTCCAGCTTCCGTTAACTACCGGTTATCAAAGCATACATGCATAATACCGACCAGAGAAAGGTCTCCGGAATGCTATTTTACGCTCAATACCGATAAACTTATATAAGCAAAAGATTTTGATTATTTAAGTAATAGTAGATTGAAAACATTAAAATCAAGTATCTCAAATCGATATAATAAAGAAGCACTTATTATTATTTTATTTAATGAAGTTACATAACGATAAAAATTGCATAAATTAGGCTATAAATAAAATTGATTTTACTGAGGACTTGGTTCATCTATGAACATTCACAACTACTTTTGGATAGGTCAAAGCTACTTAAGAATATTACATCTGTGAGAAAAATTCAAACTATTACTCTATTATATGCAATGGAATGATTACTAACAAAAAATACAATATGGTTATAGTTCTATGTCATTATCAACCTGCTCTTGTCCATACTGAGAGTCTCTTCTTATGCATGTCCTTAAGTTACTAGTTTTACTGTTTAATTGCCTAAATATTAATTAAAATCTAAGTTAATTTGGCAACATCTTATAACAGTGGTAGTGTCCGCTTTAACATCTTAGCACGAATGGGCCGGCACGCCCGGTGTAACACCACGACCACACAGAAGACAAGCGTGAAATGGAAGCAATTCCGTGTTTCGTCTGATGAGTGTGGTGCCGGAGGCCTAATTTAAGTCCCTTTCTCTTACCACCCTTTTCTTATAAGGAGAGGATGGGAAGGGNAAGTGGATTTGGCGGTGGAGGAGATGCATAGGAAGAGGAAATATCCTCTTTTTGTGCGTCTCCTCTTCCGTCGTATAAGGGTAGGCAACGCATCTGCTATTGAGGATGTCTATGGGCAGCGGTCGCTTTGCCATTTTGGCGGATTCAGGTGACCGCTTGCTCGTTTGCCACCTTATGTTATAAAAAAAAACATAAAAATTAAACTCACGCTTAGTAGTACTATGTATATGACGATTCTAACAAAGATTCTGAAATTATTGCTTTAGTAGGAAGTTGATGTGGGAACAATTCATTACATTTACATTATAAACGATTGAAAATTTTAAACTAAGAGTAAGGTTGTATACGAAACCATTGTAGATACAACAATCATGTGGGAAAATTATACAATGTAAATTGATACGTTTGCACATGTAGCCTGATATCAAAGTTGGTAATGTAGCGTGGCAGTGAAAGTGAGGAACGGCCTGCGTTACATTACATTACACAAGACATTTTAATCTATTTGATCTTAACATATCAGTCGTAAAGTTAACGACTTGCGGAACAACAAATAGAATAGCAGGATAAGACTGAGAGATAACGATATATTTGGCTTAAACATGAGTTAAGAAATATTCAGTAGTAGTCCTCTCCCCTTTCCCATCATTATGAAAAGGGTAGAAAGCGGAAGTGGAATGCCTAGACAGGTGCGTATAAAGATAAAATATCCAATTTCTATCCCCTCCTCTCGCAGTCTACATTGCGAGCAATGCATTTGCATTTTTTATTTGTAGCAGATGTCTATGGGCAACAGTCAATTCGCGATCTACAAATTTCAGGTGGCAACATGCTTGCTTGTTAATAATTTTTCTGGCTTATAATTGTATTTTTCATTATTAATCTGAGTGTAAAATTCTTATCACGGCCACGCACATCGTGTTAAAGGCATTTGAAAACGTAATTAGTACAGAAACACGATTAGGGTTAAAAACCCTTGTGTACTCATTGCGATTGAGAACAATCACGTTCTAGAACTTAAATTCCATCTAATTTAAATGTTAATAATTCGGCGGTCAAGACATATTAATAAAATTCATCATAATTTAAAAACAAATCACCATCGAAATCCGTTTATACAATATAAGCTCTAGTAACAATATTTAATCTTTGTTTTTTATTAGTGTGTTTTCTAACTCAACATCCTAAATGTTGAAAGGTTCTTATCTCTTTAGGTACTCTACAGAACCACAATTAAAAATGGAAGGGCATGCTTCAACGAGCTGGTTACCTTTTGACACACTTTCCAAAGGACAAGTTTGCGCAGGCGCTATTGTCTGTCTATACTGAGCAGTTAAATAACGCATGTTACGTAACCGCATGCACCACGTCGCTTGATTAGTGATGTTCAAGATAAGGAGAACATAAAACGACTAGTTAACAATCGCCGTGGGCGGTTACCACTGAATGGTAACGCATTGCTGGTTACCATTCTGTAATTATAAGCATATGTACTTTCTATTTAGATATTGCTGCATATAGACATTTCAAAAATGGATTCATTCGATGATAATATTTCCTTACTATGCATTGAAAATATTAGAGAAGGCTAGCAAATGTTTTACAACGATCATTTCTTCTACGCCTATCCATTCATGTATACTCCTAAGGTGCGGATACTCTTCTAACCTTCTATAGAGGACATTTTTGTATTTTTGTATTTTTGTATTTTTGTATTTTTGTATTTTTGTATTTTTGTATTTTTGTATTTTTGTATTTTTGTATTTTTGTATTTTTGTATGTGACGAATACACCCAAACACTACTGTATCGATTTCAATAATTCTTTTACCATTAGAAAGCTACACAACTGACTAACATAGGATATGTTTAGGAATAGTTTCTTTTTTTTATTCCAACGATATGGCGGACTAAAACTAGTTCCAGCTCCTAGTATGTCAAGCGTAGGTACGTGATTATTTTTTACTCTATATAATATTTTGTTTTGAATACTTGTAGCGTACTGCGGCAGATTTTTGTATTTCAAATGTTTTTTACATTAATTTACGATAACGAGAAAATTACGGGAATCAAACTTAGGTTTTTAGCTGCATTGCGTTTAATGTAATGCCTAGAAATTCAAGTACTATTAGAATTCTACGTAACATAAAGCCCCTATCGATTTTCATGCTGGCAGTGAGATGTATGACTCACCCTGTGCGGGCGCGGGAGGGGGCTGCGGGGGTGTAGGCGGTGGGCGGGCGGGGGTAGTCGGCGTTGGGGCGCTGTCTCGCTTCTTGCCATTTCCTGAAAAAGATGAGAGTGTTCTCATTAAAACCTGTAAACTTTTTAGTAGATGTGAAACATTTTTTTTTCATTATAGGGTTTTTGGAAAATCTCCTGCCTGATTATAGTTGCTTAATTTAATCTCTTATTAACTTGCGTTGTTATTAAACATAGATCTTAAACATGTTTTTATTCCTTTTATCATGATAGTTAATGTTTATGGCCAATAATATTAACCGTAACTTATCTACAAAACGATTCAACTAACACCACAGATCGTTGATTCGAAATGCATCGATTATTCAACATAAAACAACTATAACGAGCGAATCGTCTAGGTTATGCACTTATTCTGCAGTTATATTCGCATAAAGCTATCATAAATGGGTTGCCGTGGGAACATCCCGCACCATATTCAAGCAAAAAGTCAGTGAAAAGGAAACTTTTTAGTAAGACTACGCAATACCTGACAACACGAAGTAATAAAGTCATTTCATAATTAACATGATCAACCTCGTAACTTTTATGAAATAACATGCTATAAAAAAAATATTACTAGGATATTAACGGATACGTCGATTCATCTATCATCGGTCCATTGAATGTTTTGTGCCAGTATTTGAAACAGAGAAAGAACGAATTAAAATCAAATGGTATTATGGCCGGTTTCCCAGCTACATTTAACTATTCGTTAGTATTTTTTGATAACTTTATGAAATGCGTTTCCGAACTACGTATTCGAGTTTTATTGCTTTGAAACTTATGTCAAAAAACTAATGAATCACAAGATAATGATAAAATAAATGGAAACTTCAGAAACCCAGCGTTAGTAGCGTAAATACCAATATTTAAATACTAAAAGTAGACAGTCTAATGAATTTCTTTGTTCAGTATTTCTTAACATAGTTTCTTGCACTATAAGGTTTCCAGCTGCAAGCGAGCGCACGTGCGCATTGTCGTCAATACGAGACGAGTTTGAATTCCTTCTTTATGTCGCGAGCTAATAATACGTTAACGGCGTAAACAGAAAGGGAATAAAAATACAATGTGCTACTGTTTGTTAGTATTCCATTCCGTTTAGTATTTCTACTGTATACAAACACAAACAAAAATAGAAATCATGTCTTTACTATTATTTAAAAAAAACAAGCGGTTACAGGTGCAAAAGAATAAGTAAATAATTTGTTTTAGCGACTAAACAGGTGTTTTAAATTGTACGTTATGCTTAACCGTGGATTTTCACTGTCGGACAACTTCACAGAAAAATGTTGCCATCCTACATATTTGCGTTGAAGAAACTGAGACAACGATAACGACAACGATATACTTTTGCACATGTTACGGCAGTGTTACCACACGGTTATAATATCAAGTAGGTACTTAATCATTCATTGTAGTTTTAAAACAGACCATAATTATCTTTACATTAATACTTGTCAGGAATAATTCGTATATTGTGTCGTCTGCTATGAAAATGATAAAAATGTTAACTTTCAGTATGAATTAAATCTTACTAATCTTACTATCTCACTAATATTATAAATGCGAAAATTTAGATGGATTGATGGATGTTTGTTACAGTTTGTAGCCTAAACGGCTGAACGGATCTCGATGACATTTGGCATAGACGTTGAGCATAGTCTGGAAGAAGACATAGGCTACTTTCTTTGTTTTTTAATTCCACGCGAACGGAGTCGCAGGCGAAAGGTACTTAGTATTAAATAAGCGGCACCAAGTATGTAACTAATACGAGAAGTTTCGCAATCCTAGCCTAGTACAGAATAGGCTAACGTTTCTCGAAATGTATCGTGGAAACGACACAGTAAAACACGGCACAATGCTAATAATATCTCAGTACATGTACTGCATAGAAACAAAGTACGAAGAAGAAACACACAGGTGCGGTTTACGTCAAACCACAACTCTCCGACAGTGCCACCAGTACTGCGGTAAAACCTATTCATTACAAATATTAGTTACTTAGCTGCGTTAGTAGGAAGTAGTAGGATAGAAAGGTATGTAAAATCAGAGTATTTAATTTCCTATCCTACGTAGAATCAAATACGCATCAAACTGTCACTATAAGAATTATAATTTGGCACGAATGTATATTGTAATGGCATTTCATCATGGGTAGGATATAAACGTCCTCGACTGTACCCATAGCAAAGTAAGAATACATTTTTTAACGGCATCATCTTTTAGATTACGTATGACAGTAATAAGCGCATTATCCTATAAATAGAATTTTAATCAGGGTTACTATGCTAAGAATTCCACTAAGTATAATATTTGCCCTTGCAGAATATTAAAGATGATTTCTTTAGCCACTACAGTCCCTACACAATAATAGAGAGTAATTGCCAAATATGTAGCCAGGCGTCAATATAACCCAATATATTAAATAGCATGAATTAACAAATCACTGAGCCTTTATTATTTCAACCTTTGATTTGTTAATTTAAGAGACATTTTGTCTTCACAACCGTAACCTTAACTTTATAAAATACACCAAAACATATTAAATGGGAACTATTTGACAAATACCTGTTTTTATTTGTATCCGAAAATTAATTAATTAAACACAAGTTATTATATTAATGCATTTTAGTGCTTCCCGAAATAAATGAGAAACATGATGTTAATTTTAACCGAAAGTGACGACGGCCCAGGAAATATATTTTTATCCTAAAGTTAAAAAGGCCGCGCAACTTTCGCTTGTCTTCCTGATAATGCTATTTTAGTCAGTTTGTTCTAAACAATTTATTTATAAATATAATATTACGTAATAAGTCTTTATAGGACTTGCTCTTAGACAGGATTGGTTCTTAATATAACCGATATCGGTAATTCTATTGTTTTTTTTTCTTAGTTATTTTTCTATGCTCGTAAATATTAATGATAGCTTGTACTTCGTTTCGAATAAATTCGCACGACCAACTTTTATTTTTGTTTACCGTTAGACAACAATATTGAAAATTATTGTGTGAACCTCTCTATTCTTTTATAACTGGCATATTCTTCTCATGATGAGGAATCTATTATAAATCTGATGTATTTGGCTAAATTAAATAATCATCAGAGTAAAACACTCTTTTTGATTTTCTTTTTAACTATTTGAAATTCTTCTCTCGCTAACTCATTCAGTCTTCCGTGTTATCAAATAGGTCACAAATATAGCAAACTCTTACTGAGTGCAATTTAGACATCGCTCCTACTCATCACAGAACTATTGCCAATCTGCCAGTCGTTTCTATTGTTCCGTCATATGTCGGTACTTGCAAATTAGAATATTCTTGGCCTAAGAGATAATAGAAATATGAACTCTCAAATGAATTCACAAAACTTGAAAATAGATAGTAAGAAAAAAATAAAAGTAGTGAAAAGGGAGTCCAGAACTAAATTGAAGATCACATGCTTAAAAGTTTTAGGTAAACATTATATATTCTATCATCAAGAAGATTAAAAAGCCATTTGCCATAATGACACAATTTATTTCACATCTTTGTAAACAATATGACCGACTCTTACTTCGGAGTTCGAGTCGAGTCTTGCATTAATCGTTCCGACTACAAGTATACTTGTTCCACGGAACAATGGAAGGTCGCGAGGTACAGCAAAGGACAAGTAGGTGTTAGCGAGAGTGAACGAGATTTTATTATAATATGAAATATACATACAGCTCCGTACATTTGTAAAATATTTCATAAAATAAAAACTTGAATGAGAGAGATAAAAATATTAACAGAAGTTTCTTCTGTCTTCTCTTTCTCTGATTTAGAAAAGACGAGAAACATTAATGATAGAAGTTGCTTCTGTCTGAGACTAAAGTTGTCAAAACTAATTCTTTTAACTGGAACTCTCATTGAACTTCTAAATATGAACTGAAAAATACTCACCTCTGGTCCCAAAAGAGCCGAATCTCTCTCGATTCACAGCAATTTTATATTTCTTATCATTAGGAACCGGCAACTTTGACGGATACTTTTCGGAGTTTGCTCTGTAGAGCTTCTCTTTGGACCCGTGCGCTCCCATCTTCACAATTAGCTCTTAGGGCATTTTATCATAACTTTCATCGATTTTCGACGTTCGTTAACACTTTACACTACACACTAGAGAAGGCATCGATCAGGAACTATTGTTTATCTTCTTATTAACATATTGACCGCTGTTTCGGAAAAATATTTTAATTACATTCGAATACGCTTTAATTATTTGTAAGGTGTCATAATTTGAATGTTACGTAATGTACGAGTATACTAAATATTCAAAATAATAGTACTAAATAATCTAAGTTCCGAATACGCATTAACTTCAGCGCAACAAAGCAGTAGCTGATATAATTATTGCAATGTTGTAATCTATTTCTGTAGTCGACTCATGCACCACCAATATAAAATGAACTGCAGCTTAAAACATTCATTCCTGTTCTTAAACAAGAAAACGCATAGTACTAATTGTGTAATCCCCGAGTTCTAGTTAAAATGGTTAGTTTATTTTACGTTTTGTTAAAATGTATTAAGTTTCTGAGAACAGAAAATAATATTAAGGGCCTTTGTGCTAAAAAGGGAAATAAACTAATGAATCTAATCTGAATATAACATCTCAGAAATGTGAAGATTACAATGAAATTTTCCGTACAATTCTATTGTTTTTCTAAAGTACAAAAACATAAAAAATTATGGCAAAAACATAGGCTAAATTTTTCCATTGTCTAATTATACTGTAATATTTTGCTGTTGGAATTTTATTCGATTCTACTTTCGCCCAAGGATATGGATTGGAAACCATTACATTAAATCAAATTATAACAACATCCTCAATTAAGTTGTTTGTCAGTGAAATGTCGTCTATTTTGAGAGCTAACATAATGTGGGGCGAGGAGTGTTGAAGGCACGGTACTTCTACTCACGAAACTTTTATTATGATTAATGAATGTTTTAGGAAACTAGCATTAAATATGATATATGTATGCTTATTACTCTTATAAAAATGTTTTAAAATAGATTCATTAAGTGTTT